AGTATCATAAAAATCGGCTTTGTAGGTGGTTAGAGCACAATTTTCTTATAACATCGTCCAATATCAAGAAGTTATAATAACAGTAGTAGAGTCAACTCTGTACAATCGAACAAGTTGTTTCAATAATTCGTATTATTGGATAAAATTTCTATCCAATTTAATTATATTTTTTCATTATACATTATTAATTAAAAGTAATTCATTATTGAGATTCTTCCAAGATAGAAAAAGAAAAAATAGTGATTCTGTTATATCAGCCAATTAATCCATCGAATGGATTCATTATGTTCATCATACTATCGACATCATAGTTTTTTCTGGAAAACTCTCTAAACTTTATTTAACGTTTTCACTCGTTCGTGACTGCAGCTTTTCACGAGATAACGATCCAGATGTATAATAACAGATGTATAATATAAACAGATGTATAATAATTGTTGTCAGATTATATTATCCTGATTTCGAGTTAATCGATTCGATTTAATGCGAAGAGGCTTTGTTATTTGTGCATGTTTGTGTCGCTTTTTACACGTTTGGAATAATTAACGAGTGATAGCGGTTTTAAGTATAATGTGGCTACGTTTTTTCCATCGTTGCTCTACGATTCTTGAAATTTTAAAAATGACACATAGAACGCACCGTTTCACATTTCGTGCCAGATTGCAAGTAGTTTACGATCCATTTTTGTCCGTTGTTTTCAGGAAATTTATCGTTGTATAAAATAAAGACATATATATATATAAAGAAAAAAAAAAGAGAGAAGAAAGGAAAAGGAATAAGTATGAAAGTTTGAAATTATTCAACTTTGTTGCGATATGTTGTAATCGAGAGATGAAGAAATATTCTTGTAAATGAAAGTCGTATTCAAACATGAAATACGTATAAACTTTCAATATAGGATATCATAGATTAATTTCATATCAATAAATAGATTGATATGAAATATTCGATAATATTAATAATAATATTAATAATATTAATAATAATAATATTTTTTTAGTTTTAGTTTGATCTTGTGTGTGATCTTGAAAATCATTCTTTATACGTTATTCAAATAGTTAAAAATAAAGAAGTTTAAAGAGATATATCTAAATCAACTTTCTCTATCCATTTTGAAAAAGAAAATCAAGAGTAAACAAATTTAAAGAAACCTGAAGCAATTCCATCCATTTGTAAATTTCATTCAAACTTTAACTTTTGAAAAAAAATAAGAATAAACAAAGTTAGTAGTTTCAAAGAACTAGTCAATAATTTTAAAGAAATTTACAAATTTCATGCACAAATTTAAAGAAATCTGAAGCAATTCCATTCATTTGTAAATTTCGTCCAAACTTCAACTTTCTGTTTTTGAAAAGGAAAAAAACTAAGAATAAACAAATTTAAAGAAATTTAAAACAATTCCATCCAAATCTTAATTTTCTCATTTGAAAAAGAAAACCAAGAGTAAACAAATTTAAAGAAAACAATTCCATTCATTTGCAGATTTCATTCAAATTTCAACTTTCTGATTTGAAAAAAAAAGAACTAAGAATAAACAAATTTAAACAAACCTGAAGCAATTCCATCCATTTGCAAATTTCGTCCAAACTTCAACTTTCTGTTTTTGTAAAGGAAAAAACTAAGAATAAATTTAAAGAAATCTAAACAATTCTATCCATTTGCAAATTTTAATTTTCTTCTTTTGAAAAAAACTAAGAATAAACAAATTTAAAGAAATTTAAAGCAGTTCCATCCAAATCTTAATTTTCTCATTTGAAAAAGAAAACCAAGAGTAAACAAATTTAAAAAAAAAATTCCATTCATTTGCAAATTTCATCCAAATCTCAACTTTCTGATTTGAAAAAAAAGAACTAAGAATAAACAAATTTAAAGAAACCTAAAGCAATTCCATCCATTTGCAAATTTCATTCAAACTTTAACTTTTGAAAAAAACTAAGAATAAACAAATTCAAAGAAATTTGAAGCAATTCCATTCAAATCTCAATTTTCTCATTTGAAAAAGAAAACCAAGAGTAAACAAATTTAAAGAAACCTGAAGCAATTCCATTCAAATCTCAATTTTCTCATTTGAAAAAGAAAACCAAGAGTAAACAAATTTAAAGAAACCTGAAGCAATTCCATTCATTTGCAAATTTCATTCAAACTTTAACTTTTGAAAAAAAACTAAGAATGAACAAATTCAAAGAAATTTGAAGCAATTCCATTCAAATCTCAATTTTCTCATTTGAAAAAGAAAACCAAGAGTAAACAAATTTAAAGAAACCTGAAGCAATTCCATTCAAATCTCAATTTTCTCATTTGAAAAAGAAAATCAAGAGTAAACAAATTTAAAGAAATCTGAAGCAATTCCATCCATTTGCAAATTTCGTTCAAGCTTCAACTTTCTCCTTTCGAAAAAGAAAAAAAAAAAACAAAAACAAAAACAAAAACTAAATAATAAAAAAAATACAAAAACAGAGAAACCTCAAACAATTCCATCCTTAATTCCATCCAAATCTCGTCCGAATCTCTTCTCTTCCTTCTCCCCTTCAGAGAGAAAAAGGAGAAAAGAAGGAAGAGAGGAGAAGGAATTCATCGGTTAATCGGTGACGCGTGCACGATCGCGTTCCCCGGATATAAAAAGCCGAAGCAGATTCAGTTCACGGGCTATCGATCGATCGCGGAGTCGCATCGCCACGCGAATGCATGAAATGTTAACTGGGTCTTTAAGTCGCACGCACGTTCGCGAGCCTCTCGAGCGAGAAGGTCGCTCGGATGGCTCGGCGGCTTAATGGCCGCATCACGTATGCACAAGCTTGCTTAAATAAGACGCGTTTTCCACGTGCCCGGCCGACCGTTCCTCCGCGATCTCCGCTTTTAAACGCGCATCCTTGATGGATCCCGCGTTGCCTTGGCCGGCTGTAAACAATGCTCTGACCACGATCCAATGGATGATTGTCAGTCGATACGAGGATGATCGATCGTGTGCGCCTCGTTGAAAATTATAGCAGACTTTTTTCTTTTCTTTTCTTTTTTTTTCTCTTTTTTTTTTTGATTCGTCCAAGGCGTGAACGAGTTGTATTTATGGAATAAAATTTAAAATTTTTTCGAAATTAAATTTTAGATACTATGGGAATTTTTTTTTAATCTGTTTAAATGTAATGAAATTAGATTATATTTAATAAAAGGGGGATTAATTGTCTTTCTATAATAGTTGGTATTTATATAATAGTCTCGATTAATTTTGATCTCTTCGTCAAAAGTTTGGGAAAATTGAAACTGCGAATTAACTTCAAATTTTCATTTAATCGATCCAATTTGTTATAGAAAATCCAAGAAAATCTCAATCAAATTTCGAGATTATAATTATAATCCAAACTCCAAATTCCTTGGTTCAATCACAGTGCAAAAAGTTCAAAACAAAAAAAAAAAAGTCCAAATTAAAAGTTCTCGAAATTACAATCATACCACCACGTAAATATCTAATTTAAATCACATTTATTAAATTACCCCAATCTCTCCAAATTCTTCCACTCATAAAATCCCGATTAAAATCTCCATCCACACGATCAAACTCTCCAAACTCTCCATTTAATTCAATAATTACTCACCAATCACGTGTATGCAATGTTAAAAGAAAAAAAAAAAAGAAAAATTCCAATTAAAAGTTAAATCTCGAAATT